CAGAAACAAAACCTTGAAGAAAAAAACAACACCAAATTATACAAAAGGCAGTCTTCTGCTCCTTTCATGTAAATAATTTACAATGTCTTAAATGTAAGTCTACAAATATTCTAAAATGTGTGTATTAACTTCGTAAAATCATAATATGGCCTACGTTTCACACACATGTCCTTTTTTCTATAACCATGCAGTTTTTATACAAATGTCCTACTTCCACTTTTAGACAAATGTCCAAGTTCCTACTTATTAATTTCATACAAACGTCATAGCTCATACTTACTACTTTCATACAAATGTCCTACTTACTACTTTCATACAAATATCCTAGCTACTACTTACTAGTTTTATACAAATGTCCTAGCTACTACTTACTACTTTTATACAAATGTCCTACTTACTACTTTCATACAAATGTCCTAGCTCCTACTTACTAGTTTTATACAAATGTCCTAGCTACTACTTACTACTTTCATACAAATGTCCTACTTACTACTTTCATACAAATGTCCTACTTACTACTTTCATACAAATGTCCTACTTACTACTTTCATACAAATGTCCTACTTTACTTACTACTTTCATACAAATGTCCTAGCTACTACTTACTACTTTTATACAAATGTCCTACTTACTACTTTCGAATGAATGTCCTATAATGGTTGTTGGATCCTTGATAGCTTCTCCAGCACTGTTCCTTGCCTTCAGTGTAATCTTGTATGCTTCATTCACAAAGCCGGTTGACATCTCGTAGTGGTTGATCCTCCAGTTATGGATGGGGACACTCAGCAGATCCTTTTCCTCCTGGCCTCCCACTCTTAGTAGCTGCAGCATGTAATAAAATCCTGGCCCGTTGTGCTGCAGGGGTGGCATCGGCTGCGGATCAACAGCAAATTCAATTAGGAATCAACCTGGAGCAAAGACTGGGGCAGCCAGGAGAGAGGGGATGTTGGTGATAATTATGACTTGTATCTGTCTGGTCAAGGAAAGTGTAGTTCTAGTGAAGCCCCAAAGGCATTTCACTGAACACAATGTTTTAACTGTACAACATTTCACTGAACACCATGTTTTAACTGTACAACATTTCACTGAACACCATGTTTTAACTGTACAACATTTCACTGAACACCATGTTTTAACTGTACAACATTTCATTGAACACCATGTTTTAACTGTACAACATTTCAATGAACACCATGTTTTAACTGTACAACATTTCAATGAACACCATGTTTTAACTGTACAACATTTCATTGAACACCATGTTTTAAGTGTACAACATTTCAATGAACACCATGTTTTAACTGTACAAAATCTCATTGAACAACATGTTTTAACTGTACAACATTTCATTGAACACCATGTTTTAACTGTACAACATTTCATTGAACATCATGTTTTAACTCTACAACATTTCATTGAACACCATGTTTTAACTGTACAACATTTCAATGAACACCATGTTTTAACTGTACAACATTTCATTGAACAACATGTTTTAACTGTACAACATTTCATTGAATAACATGTTTTAACTGTACAACATTTCATTGAACAACATTTTTTGACTGTACAACATGTCATTGAATATATAAACAGATATTTACATTTTAATTAAAAAAATTAATGAAAATGACAGAGGAGAAAGAAAGAAATAAAACAAAAACTACAAATAGAATGGAGGAAGAAAGTAAAAAGAGTGTGTATACATACTGTCCATTCAATATACAACTTCCCATGCTGATGCCCTAAAGTTCGCAGGTTACGAGGGTGATGCAACGGTCTGCCTGGCTTGGTGATGCAGACTTGTGATGTATGGAGACTTGGGTTACTGGCTCCAATCTTGTTGTAACGCTATCACTCGGAAACTGTAGGTGCCATATGGGGTCAGGGTCAGGTTGACTTTGTTTAAACTGGCATTGACCTTGATGAGACCAAATTAGGACAGGAATTAAGATGGAAACATTATTTGTTGTAATACTTGTAGAGATTAATTAAACACAACTCGTCAAATATAGTGTTTATTTTGTGTCAATCTATAACTTTTTCTTTGGATCAACTGACTCACTACATAAAACTTTTAATAAAATAAAATGTATAAATCAAACGATAAATCAGTTAACAAAATGTATAAATCATATGATAAATCAGTTGAGAAAATGTATAAATCATTTGATAAATCAGTTGAGAAAATGTATAAATCATATGATAAATCAGTTGAGAAAATGTATAAATCATATGATAAATCAGTTGAGAAAATGTATAAATCATATGATAAATCAGTTGAGAAAATGTATAAATCATTTGATAAATCAGTTGAGAAAATGTATAAATCATATGATAAATCAGTTGAAAAAATGTATAAATCATATGATAAATCAGTTGAGAAAATGTATAAATCATATGATAAATCAGTTGAGAAAATGTATAAATCATATGATAAATCAGCTGAGAAAATGTATAAATCATATGATAAATCAGTTGAGAAAATGTATAAATCATATGATAAATCAGTTGAGAAAATGTATAAATCATATGATAAATCAGTTGAGAAAATGTATAAATCATATGATAAATCAGTTGAGAAAATGTATAAATCATATGATAAATCAGCTGAGAAAATGTATAAATCATATGATAAATCAGTTGAGAAAATGTATAAATCATGATAAATCAGTTGAGAAAATGTATAAATCATATGATAAATCAGTTGAGAAAATGTATAAATCATATGATACATCAGTTGAGAAAATGTATAAATCATATGATAAATCAGTTGAGAAAATGTATAAATCATATGATAAATCAGTTGAGAAAATGTATAAATCATATGATAAATCAGTTGAGAAAATGTATAAATCATATGATAAATCAGTTGAGAAAATGTATACACAGAAAAAAAATGGACACTAGCAACTATAGATGACTAGGGCAGCAGTCAATAATATGTAACCTTTCACCCTTTGATCATATTGGGCCAAATATATAAAGTAGAAAATACTAGATTTAAATGCCTGACTTCATCCAGGATAGTTCAAGACAATTTTATTGTCATCTTGGTCTCCACTGCTGCCATATATTTAGTAGTCAAAACTCCATGGAGTAGACAGCACAACATGAGCCTTCCGTCTTTCAGTTTCTCCTAGATGCCCTTGTTTCCTTAACCCATCAGTGTCCCATTTCAGTGCATATTTGGTGGTTCAATGAATTTTCTGAAGCAAATAAATGTTTACAGGGTGTGGGAGCTGGTCCCTGAGTCACGGTCCAAAGTGATGTCTCAGGAACATCCTAGACCAGTTCTTCCTAAAGTTAGTGCCACCGCCACCTGAGCACCCCTTTGGTGATGAGACATGTGACTCGGGGCGAGATTCAAGGTTACAATTTGGCATACTGGTAATGCCCAAAACTGACAAATAAAGCAGCGACCTCCTTTAAAGTCCCTCAGATCTGCAACCTCCTTCAAAGTCCCTCAGATCTGACTGATAATGCAGCAACCTCCTTTAAAGTCCCTCAGATCTGACTGATAATGCAGCAACCTCCTTCAAAGTCCCTCAGATCTGCAACCTCCTTCAGAGTTCCTCAGATCTGCAACCTCCTTCAAAGTCCCTCAGATCTGCAACCTTTTTCAAAGTCCCTCAGCTCTGCAACCTTTTTCAAAGTCCCTCAGCTCTGCAACCTTTTTCAAAGTCCCTCAGATCTGCAACCTTTTTCAAAGTCCCTCAGCTCTGACCGATAATGCAGCAACCTCCTCTAGCTCCACTATCTTATAAAATATGTTTCAATAATGAAAGGTAATTTTTAAAAAAAATCAATGTTAGGGAAAAATATTAAAGGTTTATAACCTCAGTAAAAGTTTACTTTTACTGATTTTTGCAATAAATAAATAAATTTACAACAACCTGGGCCGCTAATGTGACTGTTAAATTAAACATTGTTTGTTTTAATGGCAAATAAAAATGTTACCCATGTTCACTGTCTGGGAGGAGTTAACATTTTATTTATTATGAAAACACAAAATATAGAAAGGGTTTGTGATTGACAGTATAGATTTTTTATTTTTATTTTTAACATAAATTTACAGAACTGCATACTCCCATCCCAACATGGAACTCAATTTTTCGTTAATTTAAGGCCTCACCCCAGCTGTACTTGGGGGGTGGGGGGGGGGGGGGAGCTCTAATATAAGGTAACAGTTGAACAGGGTTTCTGGGACTTGTTCCAATGTGACCCTCTTCTGGCACTTTGTGTCACTGGAGGTTGTTGAATGTTGTAAGGTCCTGGCAGGGTTGAACACCATACATACCAACATTTTCATGAAATCATTCCGTTTTATATTATATATTTTCCAAATAAAAAGATTATAGGTACATCATCGTGCTCCAATGGCTGGAAAAAGAACCTTAAATGCCTAAAACAGCTGTGCTAGTGTAGAAATCCTTCAGGTCCCTAAAGGATTCAAACACAAAATCTGCTCATGTTTCAGATGGGGGGAAGTTAGTGCTAGGGATGAGAGTTGATTCCCTTGACCTGATGATCACAGTTCTGCACCTGAGAGCTGTTTTATATCAAGTCAATTATCAGTTTAACTATAGGAAACATATTTTGACAGTGATTCGACTGTGATGTCCTTGTCAATAAACTGTAAATGTCAGGACAAGAGTAAATTCTCATTTACTATGGTGACTCCATGATCAGTGTAACACGACATTTCCTCTTTATTACATCGTAGAATTACAACCCCCCCCCCCCCCCCCCCCCCCCCCAAAAAAAAAAAAAAAACCAGTAAATATTTAATTTCATATATTGTATTGTTCTTAATTCTTTTACTCCTGGGTGTTTAGCATCAGAAGCCTAAGGTGTAGCACGCAGACATAACAATAAAATCAGCACATCTTGTGTTTGTTGAACTTCCTTGGTAGGAACATCTGAACATATGATGCGTTCCTTGGGTCTGAAAAACTTAATTATCAGCTAGTTTCTGACTCTTAATTTCTGACTCTTACCTTCAGTCCAAAATGCCACTGGTCAGGGCTGAATGAAGTGTTGTACTGAACCACAAAATACTGAACTGGAGCATTGTTGAAACTTCCTGGCATCCAATTGATGGTTGCATTTATATTACACCACTCCAAGGTCACATCTGTCGGAGGGTCTGGCCGATCTTGAAGATAATAAAAATGTTTTTTTTTTTAAACAAAATTCGGTTTGAAAAATATTCAGTTCACTGTAACATATTTATTCTATTCTATATCCTCTTCACCTCATTGCTGATGCATAAGGCATATCACCAGTAATTTCCTGTGATTCTGTCTGCTGCTTGTCTCCCATTTAATATTACACTCCATTTCTCTTTCTCTTGTCATTCTCCAGGTTTGCTTATGTCATCCATGTTTCCTATTTCCATCCGCTATCCAACGGATAGCTGTCCTTACCAGTCATGCAGCATCAGCACCTAAACCATTCTGAAAGAATAATCTATTTAGAATAGGGTGGATGAGCAAATTTGGCACCATTCAAATCCTTGGTTGCTAGCTGAACAATGAAGACATGCTTGGGGAAAGGGCATGATGTCCAAAAACATACTCAACCCTGTCCTAGATAGATATTCACCCTTTGATTTTCACAGTTCAAGATTTCATATAATTAAGTGAATATCCAGTGTGAAGTTGGCTAAGTGGATACCCAACAAATTTGTTTTCAACATTAAAAAATTTTTTAAAAAGGGGGAAAAACAATACATGTTATGAGAAATATGAGCATGACAGCAACAAAATGATCATCCACACAACAATGCATTTTGACAACAAATATTGAACATCAAAAACAAAACAAAAAATTAATATCAAGAAACATGAAGCATCAACAACTGACAATAGAAACGACTGGCTAGAACTAGGTCAATGTTGGTCATGTCCTCTTTACGGGGTTCAAGTATTTGTCATTATCAAGATACTCCAGGTGTAAACAATAACTAAATGTGACCAAAAAGATGGAAATGATGACTAAATCTGATGATAAAAATGTAAACAATGGAAAACATGTCCGGAAAGATAGAAACAGCGACTAAATCTAATCATAAAAATGGGAACACTGGTTAAATATGTCCAGAAAGATGGAATCAACAACTAAATCTGATTATAAAAATGAAAAATATGTCCAGAAAGATGGAATCAACGACTAAATCTGATCATAAAAATGAAAATAATGGAAAATATGTCCAGAAAGATGGAATCAACGACTTAAACTGATCATTAAAATGGGAACAATGGAAAAAATGTCCAGAAATATGAAAACAATGACTAAATCTGATCATAAAAATGGAAACAATAGAAAACATGTCTAGAAAGATGGAAATAAACATGTCCAGAAAGAGGGAAACAACAATTAAATCTGATCATAAAAAAAAGGGAACAATGGTTAAAGATGTCCAGAAAGATGGAAACAACAATTAAATCTGAACAAAAAAAAGCAACAATGGTTAAAGATGATACAAACCCCTGACAATAAGCACAGCAGATGCTGTATGATTGTCCAGTCCATTAGTGGCGATGCAGGTGTAAGTCCCAGAATCCCTCTGTATGGTACCACTGATGGTCAGTGAGTTGTCCTGTCTGTTCTCAAACGTTCTTTGCTCATTAGTCAGAATCTTCTGACCATCCTTTAGCCAAAGAATTTTCAAGTTGTTGACCTCCTCAGGATCGGTTGTACCAGAACATGTGAACTTTGCTTCCTTCCCAGCATTCACCTCCAGGTCAAGGGGCATGTACTCAATTCTAGTTTTCCGTCGGACGATCAGAGTGCCAGAAGCAGATGTGGTATTGAACATATTCCTGGCCTCACATTTAAACAACCCTGAGTCGGCCAGGACCAAAGTCTGTTGGGTGAAACAAAAAAGTCAATGAGTGCGCAAAAATTTGTGTGAAATCTGACCTAAATAAATCTGCATCATGAGTTCTCTTGTAAGATATTTCAAGCGAGCAAGAAACTGACTTATGAGGGGGGGCCACAGTAGGACAGTTATTATTAAAAATAAAGGTGCTACCACCTTGGCTACTGAGCCAGTCTTCCTCCAGCACTAGAGGGTGTACCCAGCGCCACATGGTTACTGTGTCTCAGCAAGCATTTATGGCCTTTATGCTGTAAACTGTCCGTGGCTACAGAGTTTCCATCGCCTGTCATTCGTCAGCAAGCATTTATGGCCTTTGTGCTGTAAACTGTCCGTGGCTACAGAGTTTCCATCACTGTCAATGTCGGTCAGCAAGCATCTGTCCGTGGCTACAGAGTTTCCATCGCCTGTCATTCGTCAGCAAGCATTTATGCCTTTGTGCTGTAAACTGTCCGTGGCTACAGAGTTTCCATCGCCTGTCATTCGTCAGCAAGCCACTCACATTCCCAGAAATCTATGTTTTCTAACAATTAGACCTTATATATAACCTTTCTCACTCACTATCTACATTTACCACATATACAGCTGACAATTTTTTTTTTGTATCACTGCTTGATCATACAAGAAATCTTTCACTGACATCATGTCCTCTATAGGCCATTCCTCTCCTATCTTAAATCTCTCATCTTTCAGCTATACAGGACTGGGGGAGGGTTTCTAAGGACACTTCAAACTTCTAGAACATACCTCTCTGGATTGACTTCTTTGGTAATTTGTGTGGCAGCTTGTTGTTAGCAATATATGTTCATGACACACATTCAATGTATTTCCCACCCAACCCAACCTAAACCCCCCCCCCCCCCCCCCCCGTCCTTTTCAATTAAAAAAATTGTGAGTAGACTGAAGTAGAGTTGTAGGAGTGCAGTCTGTAGGCTGTAATAAAACATAACTTGGTGTCAGTGTTGGTGTCAGTGTTGGTGTGGTGTTGGTGTCAGTGTTGGTGTGGAGTTGGTGTCAGTGTTGGTGTGGAGTTGGTGTCAGTGTTGGTGTGGAGTTGGTGTCAGTGTTGGTGTGGAGTTGGTGTCAGTGTTGGTGTGGAGTTGGTGTCAGTGTTGGTGCCAGTGTTGGTGTCAGTGTTGGTGTCAGTGTTGGTGTCAGTGTTGGTGTCAGTGTTGGTGTCAGTGTTGGTGTCAGTGTTGGTGTCAGTGTTGGTGCCAGTGTTGGTGTCAGTGTTGGTGTCAGTGTTGGTGTGGAGTTGGTGTCAGTGTTGGTGTGGTGTTGGTGTCAGTGTTGGTGTGGAGTTGGTGTCAGTGTTGGTGTGGTGTTGGTGTCAGTGTCGGTCAAGTCTATTCTGACTAGCCCAGTATTTAGAGAAGTTCTGCAAAGTCTGGTCAGCCACCATTGATTCACCTACACAAACATGCACCAGCAAAGCCAAAATTGCAATATGCTAAGATCATTCATTAACCAAACTTGTTTGGTCATTCAGTGATTGTCAAGATCATCCGTTACTTCTTTTTTTTTCAGTCAATTAAATCCCATGAACTGTGACTCAGAACCTAAACACACACGCGTGTACACGCAAACACAACACATAGCAACAATCTTAATGTCCACTGCTAGCAGCAACTGTGATCAAGTTTGTGCCAAAATGTCTGATTGTGCCTGTGTGTGACCCCCTTTCCCTCCCCCCCCCTTTCCCCCTTCATTAAGCTCAGTCGATTAATGCACAGATACTAGCTTCTGCAAACACCCCTAGTTTTAAATTCTTGTCAGGAATGGTGACATAGTATTGCAAAATGGTGTTTTACCCCTGTCACATTATGTGCCAGAAGATAATGACAGGGATGTCAACCACACCAACAAAAAGGTTGCTGAAATCATAATTATAAAATGAATGTGTACCCGTATCTTGAGGTCTCCAGATTTGGCAATGGTGTAACGGCCTCCCGTTATCTGCTCTCCATCTTTGTACCAGGTGATGATGGGATCTGGCTTGCCAGTTGTACGACAGGTGAGATTAACAGCTGTGGCTTCTGCTGCAACTTTCCTGACTTTAGGAGGGGTGATGATGGTTGGCGATTCAGCTGGCAGAATGATTCAACATGCAAATTTAATCTATGAATAATATGTAAATGCTAAATGATCATGAAATGTAAAAAAAATTGGACCTTATTGGCAGAGACTGATAAACACAATGTCATTTTCTATTTTAAGGTGAGGTAGGTTCAGAAAAAAAAAGACACTTCAACACCTTCAGGCATATAGGGTATATAGGGCTAGACCTATATTTTATAAATAAATTGACACTCAGCCACTTCTCTTCCCAGGATTGCACCTGGTATCCATTTAAGGCTGGGTTGACCTGCAGCTAGGGTAAAAAAAATTTTTTTTTTTAATCTCCTTAGAAACTGAACCATGATATTGTCATCTGCAGGCAAGGATCTGGTTACTGCCCTTGCTCCTATGGGGAGATAGCCCCTGCAAATACTACCACTTGAGTGTGAAGTGATGTCAGAAGTGGACAAACAACCCGAACTTTCTGCCAGAGTTTACAACTGGAGAATGCCCAAAAGTAGTGGATGAACAACCAGAACTTTCTGCCAGAGGTTTCAACTGGAGAATGCCCAGAAGTAGACAGAGAAGAACCAGCAGACAATGTAGATAATGATCTGGAGTATTTAATGGGGCCAGGCTGATACTAGAGTTGTGCTGTTCAGGGCTGCACCGACCTAGATAACTGTTCCATGACATAAGTCGAGTGTAAGACCCATTTCTGCAGCCTGAATAAGACAGTTCAGCATTACTGGGATCCCACCTGTCACCTTTAGGTCCCACACACATAAATATGAGATCTCAGACACAATCAGGACATAATGTTTCACTGCAATCTTCAGGACATAATGTTTCACTACAATCTTCAGGACAGAATGTTTCACTACAATCTTCAGGACATAATGTTTCACTACAATCTTCAGGACATAATGTTTCACTACAATCTTCAGGACATAATGTTTTACTACAATCTTCAGGACATAATGTTTCACTGCAATCTTCAGGACATAATGTTTCACTACAATCTTCAGGACATAATGTTTTACTACAATCTTCAGGACATAATGTTTCACTGCAATCTTCAGGACATAATGTTTCACTACAATCTTCAGGACATAATGTTTTACTACAATCTTAGGACATAATGTTTCACTACAATCTTCAGGACATAATGTTTCACTACAAACTTCAGGACATAATGTTTCACTACAAACTTCAGGACATAATGTTTCACTACAAACTTCATGACATAATGTTTCACTACAATCTTTGCTGGTTTTGAATAGACATAAAACTAAATTAATTAAAAACAAAGCAGATCAGCTGGAAATGTTTCACATGTATGTTTGTGTTGTATGTTTGTGTTGACATGTTTGTTTTTGCATGTTTATATTGTATATTTTTGTTTGTTTAAACATATTTATATGTTTGTGTTTATAGGTTCGTGGATGTGTTTATGTTTACAATGTCAGAACTTGAAAATGAAAGCAAAAAGCTGAAACAACATTTTATTGCTCCGTTTCATTGCAACTGGACAGATCCCCATACCACATTGCACGGCTTAAGTTTTGACATGTTCACGTACCCAGAACATTGAGGTAGACATCCGCAAAGACATATCCATGGATGTTGGAGGCATTACACTGGATGACCATGTGATCCGTCTGCTCAACTTTCTCCAGAAAGATCTTGTTCTCCACGGGTCGCTTGAATCTTGGACTCTTGATTCTGGGATCTTTCACATCTGGTGAAAGCCAACATGAGACTCAAGTTTGTGGTCAAGAGATAGAGTGGTCTGACAGACGGTGCAAACTAAACATTAAAATATGCAACACCACTCAGTCCACTACCGATAATCACAGCTCACAGTGCTACCAGGAGCACTAAACTCAGTGGCTCCAGTACCAGAAATAGTTTTAATCTACTCATCGCCCAGATATTCATCGAATGAAGTTGATTTTCAGTGATGATCATGACGCCTGGTCTCGCAGTGTGTTTAAGGATGCATGCACCTTATGGTTTGCCAGATCACATCGTGTGTGTTTTGCTGACAGAGGACACTTTGTATGGCTACAACATTCACTTGAAGTATCCAGCGTATCTGACTCAGTTTGTGACTGAAATCACTGGCATAAACGGTTGAGCAGTTATAGACCAAGCTCGTTTGCTGTGATGCTGGAACCGTAACGACTAATGCAACACCACTGGTCCAATCATCTGTACAACACCACTGGTACAATCATCTGTACAACACCACTGGTACAATCATCTGTACAACACCACTGGTACAATCATGTGTTTTATAACACAACTGGTACAATCATCTGTACGACACTACTGGTACAATCATGTGTTTTATAACACAACTGGTACAATCATCTGTACAGCACTACTGGTACAATCATCTGTACAACACTACTGGTACAATCATCTGTACAACACCACTGGTACAATCATGTGTTTTGTAACACAACTGGTAAAATCATCTGTATAACACAACTGGTACAATCATCTGTATAACACAACTGGTACAATCATCTGTACAGCACCACTGGTACAATCATCTGTACAACATCACTGGTACAGTCATCTGTACAACATCACTGGTACAATCATCTGTACAAAACCACTGGTACAATCATCTGTACAACATCACTGGTCCAATCATCTGTACAACATCACTGGTACAATCATCTGTACAACATCACTAGTACAATCATCTGTACAACATCACTAGTACAATCATCTGTACAACATCACTGGTACAATCATCTGTACAACATCACTGGTCCAATCATCTGTACAACACTACTGGTACAATCATCTGTACAACACTACTGGTACAATCATCTGTACAACACCACTGGTACAATCATGTGTTTTGTAACACAACTGGTAAAATCATCTGTATAACACAACTGGTACAATCATCTGTATAACACAACTAGTACAATCATCTGTACAGCACCACTGGTACAATCATCTGTACAACATCACTGGTACAATCATCTGTACAACATCACTGGTACAATCATCTGTACAGCACCACTGGTACAATCATCTGTACAACATCACTGGTACAATCATCTGTACAACATCACTGGTCCAATCATCTGGGCAACATCACTGAAACAGAAAACTCTATTTAATACCATTGATATCATAAACTCTAGACTATGAACTAATGTAAGTGAAACAGAACTGTTACAACAAACTAGATCCGAAACCACTGACTTCAATCAAACTTACCTTTAAGTGGAACACCATCAATGTACCAATCAATGTCTGGGGTAGGCACGCCCATAGCCACACAGCTAAACTCTACATTACCTCCCACTCCAACTTCCATGTCTTGTGGCGCTTGAACAAAATATGGCTTGGCTAGAGAAACCAAACACACACCAATTATTACCTGGACATTTGTGATCATTTCGTGAATAAACAACAAGAGAAAAAAAATCATGTTTGACATTTAAGGTATGCCCTCATAAACTTCCTGCCTGCAGACTGGTGTCTGACTCTGCACTGTGAGCTGGAGCTTGTCAACAAGTACTCAAATACTGCGGAGGAACACAGCTAGCCAGGTCTACCTCCAGAGAGTACATTGCTATGGTAACACATGACCAGGCCTAACTCCAGAGAGTACATTGCTATGGTAACACATTACCAGGCCTAACTCCAGAGAGTACATTGCTATGGTAACACATGACTAGGACTAACTCCAGAGAGTACATTGCTATGGTAACACATGACTAGGACTAACTCCAGAGAGTACATTGCTATGGTAACACATGACTAGGACTAACTCCAGCTAGGACACATCTGCTGTGATAAATCTTCACCAGAAAACCTGTTTGAAATGTCTGTCAATCGATGACACTAATGATGAAATTTTGGTAAATCGGATTAGAAACATAGACACTAATGATGAAATTTTGGTAAATCGGATTAGAAACATAGACACTAATGATGAAATTTTGGTAAATCAGAATAGAAACATAGACACTAATGATGAAATTTTGGTACATCAGATTAGAAAGTTAGACACTAATGATGAAATTTTGGTAAATCAGAATAGAAATAAAGACAATAATGATGAAATTTTGGTAAATCAGAATAGAAACATTAACACTAATGATGAAATTTTGGTAAATCAGATTAGAAAGTTAGACACTAACATTGAAGTTTTGCTAAATCAGATTAGTTAGACACTAATAATTAAGGCTGTATCGAATAGTGATTTTCACTATTCCGCCAAATACGAATAGCTGGACTAGCTATTTGGCCGAATACGAATACGAATAGTGTATCATCATCATCAGGTGCTTTGCCGACTGGCATGGGCGATTATTCCTCGCCACAATGTGAGATCTCCTGCAGCATGTTTTCGTTCGTGTGCTGAGACGCCTCCATGCCATGCAACAAGACTGTCTAGAATCTTCTCTCATTGTCTTCCTCTATCCCTCCTTCCACAGATCTTTCCAGTGGTCACCTCATGTTCCATTTTTCCTCATCTTATAACATGGTCGAAAAATGATGACTGTCTCCTTCTGATGTCTGTGATAAGTTGTCTTCGGGCTTCCGCCTCTATCAAAACCTCTTGGTTGCTTTTTTGTGTGGCTGTCTAAGGTATTTAAAGCATTGTTCTGTAAAACCACATCTCTGAGGCCTCAAGAAATTCTTTGGCCTGCCTACCAATTGTCCAGGACGTAGAGCCAAATGTTTAAACTGGATGTATGTAGCTAGCAATAATTTTTTTTCTAACCTTCAATGACAAAGATATATTGCATAAGATGTTCTTCATTTTATAAACTGCAGTTTTTGCCTGTCCTATTCTGTTTCTTATTTCAGTAATGCATCTTCCATCTGATGTTATCTATGTGCCCAGATACTTACATTTCTGTACTTGTCCCAAAATAAAATCATTGACTTTAATTACACATTTAAGAATAATTATTTTCTTTGATACCACCATTACTTCTGTCTTCCCACTATTTAAACTGAGGCCCATTCTTCCACTTCCGTGTATAAATTAGATCAAAAAAAAAAAAAACATCCATAATGTCAAATGAATTTTACTTAAAAAATGTAGTACAGAATAGTAAACATTTAAAAACATTTCATGTTTAGCATCCTTCAGTCAGTCTGTGGTAACTAATACCTAGGAATGAAAGTATTCTTAGTTTTATAACAAGAAACTAAACTTGTAAATTGTCACTGACAGCTTAGTTATTCCTTGAAAGCGGCATTAGCTTTAATAATAAAACAAAAAAAAACAATTGTTCCATGTTGTCAGCCTTAAGGCAGCTTCTTGTCTCACTGAAGGTATTTCCAGCTGTACTAAACAGACGTTCACTTGGTACGCTCGTAGGTGGTGCACAAAGATAACTCTTGACAGTATGAAAGGTGGGAAATCTTGATATGTTTAGTTTCCACCAGTCCAGAAATGGGTGTAAGGTAACCACTATTCGTATTCGGCCGGACAGCAACTATTCAGCCAAATACCAAATAGTTATTAGGTCCACTATTCGACCCCGAAGCGAATACTAAGCGAATATTCGTCACAGCCCTACTAATAATGAAAATTTGGTAAATCAGATTAGAAAGTTAGACAATAATGTTGTTATTTTTGCTGTAAATCAGATGAGAAAGTTAGACAATAATGTTGTTATTTTTGCTGTAAATCAGATTAGAAAGTTAGACAATAATGTTGTTATTTTTGCTGTAAATCAGATGAGAAAGTTAGACAATAATGTTGTTATTTTTGCTGTAAATGAGATTAGAAAGTTAGACAATAATGTTGTTATTTTTGCTGTAAATCAGATTAGAAAGTTAGACAATAATGTTGTTATTTTTGCTGTAAATGAGATTAGAAAGTTAGACAATAATGTTGTTATTTTTGCTGTAAATCAGATGAGAAAGTTAGACAATAATGTTGTTATTTTTGCTGTAAATCAGATGAGAAAGTTAGACAATAATGTTGTTATTTTTGCTGTAAATCAGATTAGAAAGTTAGACAATAATGTTGTTATTTTTGCTGTAAATCAGATGAGAAAGTTAGACAATAATGTTGTTATTTATGCTGTAAATCAGATGAGAAAGTTAGACAATAATGTTGTTATTTTTGCTGTAAATCAGATGAGAAAGTTAGACAATAATGTTGTTATTTTTGCTGTAAATCAGATGAGAAAGTTAGACAATAATGTTGTTATTTTTGCTGTAAATCAGATGAGAAAGTTAGACAATAATGTTGTTATTTTTGCTGTAAATCAGATGAGAAAGTTAGACAATAATGTTGTTATTTTTGCTGTAAATCAGGTTTGAATCAGAGACACTAATGATGACATTTTGGTAAATGAGATTAGAAAGTTGGACAATAATGTTGAACTTTCAGTAGATAAGATGAAAGAAACTTACAGTAGACTCTTTTGTGGAATATTTAGTTATCAGACTGGCTTATTTGTTTGCAGTTCTCGTTCCCTGCATCTGCCGGAGAGGCGGGGAACGAGAACTGCAAACAAATAAGCCAGTAAAACTGATGTACACGCAAAACTCAGGTCAAGGTAAAAGCCAAAAGTCCATTTTGGATGAACAACCGCGACTTACCGCCGGAATTCACAGCCGGTGAACAAGAAAAAAAAAAAAAAGATTAGAAACTGAAATATAAAACATTTGATAGATATGATTAGAGACTTACAGTTGACTCGAATATTGAACATCCTGTAGATACGACCACCACCACTGACTTCATTAGTCGCCCAGCACTGGTAGCCTCCAGCATCTTCAAACTGCATGTCAGAAATCTCCAGTTCCTGAGCAAAGCTCTTCATTTGGGCACGGTCTGGGAGAGACTTGTTGTCTGTCCGTTCCCAGTGGACATCAGGAGTGGGACTGATAAAACACAAGTGACAACATGAACAAATGTTGAACAACAACAAACTTGAACATAAAAAAACATAAACAAATGTTGAAGCAGCAACAATCTTGAACATATAACATTATGAACTGAACAGATGTTGACCAGTAACAAACATGAACAGATAACAACATGAACGAATGTTGAACAGCAACAAACTTGAACAGATAAAAACATGAACAAATGTTGAACAGCAACAAACTTGAACAGATAACAACATGAACACATGTTGAACAGCAACAAACTTGAACAGACAACAACATAAACAAATGTTGAACTGTAACAAACTTGAACATATAACAACATGAACAAATGTAGAGCAGCAACAAATTTGAACATATAACAACAAAAACACATGTTGAACAGCAACAAACTTGAACAGAAAACAACATGAACAAATGTTGAACAGCAACAAACTTGAACAGAAAACAACATGAACAAATGTTGAACAGTAACAAACTTGAACAGATAACAACATGAACAAATGTTGAACAGCAAAAAACTTGAACAGATAACAATATGAACAAATGTTGAACAGCAAAAAATTTGAACAGATAACAACATGAACAAATGTTGAACAGCAAAAAACTTGAACAGATAACAACATGAACAAATGTTGAATTGTAAGTAGAAGAGAAACCTTTTCACATCTGTTTGCACATGGTGATAGATCAATATGTTTACATACCAATTTAGCAGGCATGCTAGCAAATGGCTGCTGTGCTAATGTTGATCTTGATATCATTCTGTTGATCAGGATAAGTCCCTGTGCCAGGAATGTACTGTAACATGTTACAGTTGTGCGGGAAAGGGGTACAAGTGGTAAATTGTTTCACAAAATCTTCCAAATTTTCACTAGTTTATAGTGAGTAGGATTTTCACAAATAGAAAATAAAAGCTACCTACTTGCCAGAAAAGATGCACTTGACTGAGAATGTTTCTCCTCGAAGGCCAAATCGGTCATCTTGATCAGCCCACAAGTACTTGACTGGCATCCACTGTGCTTTGCCTGGTTAGAGAAGATAATACCTAGACAAACAATGAGGCCAGACAAAACCATTTCTACATTCAACTCTTTGGACAATGAATGAACAGATTCAACAAACTAAATGACAGACTTAACAAGCATTTGACATAAGAAAAACTCTCAGAGTCACTCCAATAATGAATTTGTTCTCTCTGTGCAACACAGCTGACCTCTGTCATGTTCCTGTGCCACACAGCTGACCTCTGACATGTTCCTGTGCCACACAGCTGACCTCTGTCATGTTTCTGTGCCACACAGCTGACATCTGTCATGTTTCTGTGCCACACAGTTGACATCTGTCATGTTTCTGCATGAAGGTCCTGAAAGTCAGGATTTTTATGTATGTGTTTTTGTTTTTCTGATGGTACGCATTACGGGCAACATTTTTTAGGACATAAATTTGTAACTTGTTTACTGTAAAAGACACATTATGGTGGGTAATTGCACATTTTCGTTTAGAAAACGCCCAGATGAGAGTCATTATACAAATAACCTCAAATTAACTGAGTACGATTTATCAGTGACTCAAAAAATCTGCTCCCAGAATCTCGCTCAGACATGAATATGCCCAGGAATCTCCTGATAGGCTGACCTCGGGCATGAATATGCCCAGGAATCTCCTGATAGGCTGACTTCACACATGAATATGCCCAGGAATCTCCTGATAGGCTGACCTCAGGCGTGAATATGCCCAGGAATCTCCTGATAGGCTGACCTCGGGCATGAATATGCCCAGGAATCTCCTGATAGGCTGACCTCAGGCATGAATATGCCCAGGAATCTCCTGATAGGCTGACCTCGGGCATGAATATGCCCAGGAATCTCCTGATAGGCTGACCTCAGGCTTGAATATGCCCAGTAATCTCCTGATAGGCTGACCTCAGGCATGAATATGCCCAGGAATCTCCTGATAGGCTGACCTCAGGCATGAATATGCCCAGGAATCTCCTGATAGGCTGACCTCAGGCATGAATATGCCCAGGAATCTCCTGATAGGCTGACCTCAGGCATGAATATGCCCAGGAATCTCCTGATAGGCTGACCTCAGACATGAATATGCCCAGGAATCTCCTGATAGGCTGACCTCAGGCATGAATATGCCCAGTAATCTCCTGATAGGCTAACCTCAGACATGAATATGCCCAGGAATCTCCTGATAGGCTGACCCCAGGCATGAATATGCCCAGGAATCTCCTGATAGGCTGACCTCAGGCATGAATATGCCCAGGAATCTCCTGATAGGCTGACCTCAGGCATGAATATGCCCAGTAATCTCCTGATAGGCTGACCTCAGGCATGAATATGCCCAGGAATCTCCTGATAGGCTGACCTCAGACATGAATATGCCCAGGAATCTCCTGATAGGCTGACCTCAGGCATGAATATGCCCAGTAATCTCCTGATAGGTTGACCTCAGACATGAATATGCCCAGGAATTTCCTGATAGGCTGACCCCAGGCATGAATATGCCCAGGAATCTCCTGATAGGCTGACCTCAGGCATGAATATGCCCAGGAATCTCCTGATAGGCTGACCTCAGACATGAATATGCCCAGGAATCTCCTGATAGGCTGACCTCAGGCATGAATATGCCCAGTAATCTCCTGATAGGGTGACCTCAGACATGAATATGCCCAGGAATCTCCTGATAGGCTGACCTCAGACATGAATATGCCCAGGAATCTCCTGATAGGCTTGGATCAGCAGCTGTGGTTGGAGTCTATGAGAAGGTCAGTCTTCACCTTGTATCGGTAAAATATCATCTTATTCTCCTTCAGCAGCTGTAAACTCTGGCTGAAAGTTCTGGTTGTTTGGCCACTTTTGGACTTCAGTCTTGTACCAGAACTTGAGTGGTGTGTGCACATCCATTTTACAGATCTGGCTTCTCAGTATACAGACTGTTGGTTCTTTGCTTCTCAGTGGTTCTTTGCTTCTCAGGCAGAAGCACTCCAACTTTGAAGGAAACCCTCACTAGTCTACTCTTATGACACGCTTGTTAGGGAGGCAGTGGGTCTGTTCTTTGTCTCTCCGACAACGGGGCCTCAGAACCTACATTAGAATAGAGGAAATATGATAGATGGTGTTAGTACTCACCTCCAATGGGTGCAATTTTGTACAGAGGACCTTGTGAATTCCGTCTCATGAAGTTATTCATGGCCACACAGGTGTAGGGCATTCCGTTCATTGAATCTTCTTGTCTAACATTTGCAAACCTCAGTCGATCTGCAATAAATGTCAGTTTAGTCCCATGAACACCAAACCAGCACATCTTTTGATAAAGTAACCCCTTCTATCCTGACAGTTTTGTCTGAGTCTGTTGTCTACTAACAGAGATTTTTGTTATGTTGATGGATTTCTCTCACGCACCAATCAGGCCTCAATGCCTAGTGATGTGCCCTGTCCCAGTACCAGTCAGGTCTCAATGCCTAGTGATGTGCCTTGTCCCAGTACCAATCAGGCCTCAATGCCTAGTGATGTGCCCTGCCCCAGTGCCATTCAGGCCTCAATGCCTAGTGATGTGCCTTGTTCCAGCACCAGTCAAACCTCAGTGCCTGGTGATGTGCCATGTCCCAGTACCATTCAGGCCTCAATGCCTAGTGATGTGTCCTGTCCCAGTACCAATCAGGCCCCAATGCCTGGTGATGTGCCTTGTTCCAGTACCAGTCAGGCCTCAGTGCCTGGTGATGTGCCTTGTTCCAGTACCAATCAGGCCCCAATGCCTGGTGATGTGCCTTGTTCCAGTACCAGTCAGGCCTCAGTGTCTGGTGATGTGCCATGTCCCAGTACCATTCAGGCCTTAATGCCTGGTGGTGTGCCTTGTTCCAGCACCAGTCAAACCTCAGTGCCTGGTGATGTGCCATGTCCCAGTACCATTCAGGCCTCAATGCCTAGTGATGTGTCCTGTCCCAGTACCAATCAGGCCCCAATGCCTGGTGATGTGCCTTGTTCCAGTACCAGTCAAACCTCAGTGCCTGGTGATGTGCCATGTCCCAGTACCATTCAGGCCTCAATGCCTAGTGATGTGTCCTGTCCCAGTACCAATCAGGCCCCAATGCCTGGTGATGTGCCTTGTTCCAGTACCAGTCAGGCCTCAGTGCCTGGTGATGTGCCTTGTCCTAGTACCATTCAGGCCTCAATGCCTGGTGATGTGCTTTGTCCTAGTTCCAGTCAGGTCTCAATGCCTGGTGATGTGCCTTGTCCTAGTTCCAGTCAGGCCTCTAGACCCAGCAGTGTTTCCCTAGAAATGATAGGGCATGACTGGTAGTGAACAATCAGGGACACTGGACACAATTCCTCAATGAACATTGCAGTCTATACAACATACAGATCTGCTCTTGGATAGAGCCAAGGAACACAACCAAATCTAATCTGTTGAACTGAAGAGGTCAGCATACTGTGGCAACGAGTCATGGCAAAGACAATACATTAGGATTAGACAAGGTCTAGACTGAAACAGTGAATATAGTTGATGAAATATTTGAGGACAGGCTGTTTAAGAAGTGAATATTGCAGGGCTCTTGTGTGGGAGCCCTGTGTTTGAATCCGTGGTAAGGTTGTGGATTTGTCTCTGTCAGGAGTAAATATTGAATCCTAACCTACCCAGCCTGTCAGTGGTGACTGTACCAGCCACGTGGCTCTAAATAACAGATTTTGGAACATCGTTTTAGAAGCTGTAATCTTCTTCTCCTTCTTAAAGTCTATGCTATGTGGCTTGGTAGTCATGCCTATCCACAACCTTCTGTCTCATGTACTTTTAATCAACTCTGACACAGATGATCTTCCATGCCAAGATGTCCAGTTATCTCCTTCTCATCACATGACCAAAGAATATACATTGTCTCTTTTTGATATGGGCAATCAGTTCTTTTTACGAGTCAGTTTCCTACAAGACGTTTTCATTAAGCTCTAATACAGAATCAAAATAAAATGGTGCTGAAATTAAGAAGAGGAATTTTAAAAAGTAATCAAAATATTATCAATCATTTTCAAGTTTTTCCTAGGAAGTAAAAGTTTTATTTCTATGCCAAGAAATGTGGGTTTATAACAGAGGTGCAAGCATGCATACACACACGTGCATGCATGCATTCACACACGTGCAAGCATGCATTCACACATGTACAAGCATGCATTCACACATGTGCAATCATGCATTCACACACGTGCAAGCATGCATTCACACACATGCAAGCATGCATTCACAAACATGCAAGCATGCATTCACACATGTGCAAGCATGCACACACACATGGGCAAGCATGCATTCATACATGTGCAAGCATGCATACACACATGGGCACGCATGCATACACACAGGTGCAAGCATGCATACACACACGTGCAAGCATGCATTCACACACGGGCAAGCATGCATTCACACAGGTGCAAGCATGCATTCACACACGTGCAAGCATGCATTCACACACATGCAAGAAGAGAATAACAACAGAGAACACAAATCTAACTGATCAAAACACAAAGAAAATAGTTTTTAGACACATTTTGACAAACTGAAAACGAAATGTCTACATACATTCTCTGTCCATGGAGACACGATCATTGTAGTTGAACACATCGATCCCTCCAGTGGATAATCTGTTGACCCAGAAAACTGTGGGAGGTGGGACACTCTCAGGTGGGACACATGGCAAAGTGAAAGGCTCACCCACTTTAGGTGTAAATGTTTTAGGACTTTCAAACACAAAATTCTGCAGTTTCGCCTGCCTCAAGTTGATCTTTTTTGTGGCAGACGTGCCATAAGGGTTCTTGGCAAAACATTGGAAGATTCCTTCATCCTTGTTTTCTGGACTGTTGATGACCAGCGTGCCAGCGTTCGGCAGCTGGACCACCCTGGCATCGTTGCCACTTGGGTTGAACTCAATCTCGTTTCTCTTCCAGTGGTACCTGGAGAATGCCAACATGCCAGAATTCAGTGAACAATGATTAAAGCATAAACGTTAACAATAGGTGCTAGGATGGGTCACTGATTTCAGTCCAGATGTTAACAATAGGTGTTAGGGTAGGTCAACTATTACAGTCCAGATGTTAACAATAGGCACCCGGGTGGAAAATTGTGGATACCAAGTTGTAAAATGATAAATGCTAGAATAGTAAAATAATGAGTACTATGACATTAAAATAATGAGTACTAGGACTGTGAAATAATTAGTACTAGAGCGATGAAATAATGAGTACTAGGACAGTGACATAATGAGCACTATGACAGTAAAAGAATGAATGACTGATTGTTTTAAAAAATAAAACTGCTAAGATGTGAAATAGTGAGTGCTATGTTGTAAAATGAATATTAGTCTGAGAAATAAGAGTGAAGAGATGTGAAATAAGTGCTATCGCTTTGTGGGTTTTAGGGTCCCAATTGGGGTGGGAGGGGGGGGGAATACCCACCCACCTAACGTATTATAAAAAGTAACTAATTAAGGTTGTGTTATTTTGAGGTTAGAGTGCATCTGTCTGAGAGGTGATGAACCAACATTTGCTTACAAATAAACCAGATCTGGAAACCAGATCTATAAACCAGATCTGTAAACTGAATGTACACACAAAACTCAAGTTCTTGAACAATGGACAAACAACCATAACTTTCTGCCAGAGTTTACAGCCAATGAATGTACAGAAGCAGAAGCAAAACTGCAGCCAAATAAGAAGAATAAGGAGAAGAAGAAAAAGCAAGAAGAGGAGGAGAAGAAATGAGTAGATTGTATCACTTACTCAGGCCGAGGGTCTCCAGCAGCAACACACGGCAGCTGTACAGTCTCACCGGGCTTAAAAAAAACATCGAAATCTGGCTCCAAAAACATGCCTGGTGGGCGTGAGACTGTTAGAGAAAACACGAGAACATACAAAATTTGCCTCTAGGAGAGAACTCTAGAACATGTCACAGTGAAAAAGAACACATCACAGAGAACATGACATTGTCACTGAGGAAGCAAGAACATGCCACACATAAAAAGAATTCTACATGTTCAGCGTCTGTATGCTTGTATCTAACATGTCTGTCCTCTGTGAGAGAGCGTCACACCTTCTGATGGCTTGTATCTAACATGTCTGTCCTCTGTGAGAGAGCGTCACACCTTCTGTATGCTTGTATCTAACATGTCTGTCCTCTGTGAGAGAGCTTCTCACCTTCTGATGGCTTGAATGTAACATGTCTGACCTCTGTGAGAGAATCACACCTTCTGTATGCTTGTATCTAACATGTCTGACCTCTGTGAGAGAGTGTCACACCTTCTGTATGCTTGCATCTAACATGTCTGACCTCTGTGAGAGAGTGTCACACCTTCTGTATGCTTGTATCTAACATGTCTGTCCTCTATGAGAGAGCGTCACACCTTCTGATGGCTTGTATCTAACATGTCTGTCCTCTGTGAGAGAATCACACCTTCTGTATGCTTGTATCTAACATGTCTGACCTCTGTGAGAGAGTGTCACATTTTCTGATGGCTTGTATCTAACATGTCTGACCTCTGTGAGAGAGTGTCACACCTTCTGATGGCTTGTATCTAACATGTCTGACCTCTGTGAGAGAATCACACCTTCTGCATGCTTGAATCTAATATGTCTGACCTCTGTGAGGGAATCACACCTTCCTCATGCTTGCATCTAACATGTCTGTCCTCTGTGAGAGAGTGTCACACCTTCTGTATGCTTGTATCTAACATGTCTGTCCTCTGTGAGAGAGCGTCACACCTTCTGATGGCTTGTATCTAACATGTCTGTCCTCTGTGAGAGAGTGTCACACCTTCTGATGGCTTGTATCTAACATGTCTGTCCTCTGTGAGAGAATCACACCTTCTGTATGCTTGTATCTAACATGTCTGACCTCTGTGAGAGAATCACACGTTCCTCATGCTTGCATCTAACATGTCTGTCCTCTGTGAGAGAGTGTCACACCTTCTGTATGCTTGTATCTAACATGTCTGTCCTCTGTGGGAGAGCGTCACACCTTCTGATGGCTTGTATCTAACATGTCTGTCCTCTGTGAGAGAGCGTCACACCTTCTGATGGTTTGTATCTAACATGTCTGACCTCTGTGAGAGAGCGTCACACCATCTGATGGCTTGTATCTAACATGTCTGACCTCTGTGAGAGAGCGTCACACCTTCTGATGGCTTGTATCTAACATGTCTGTCCTCTGTGAGAGAGCGTCACACCTTCTGTATGCTTGTATCTAACATGTCTGTCCTCTGTGAGAGAGCTTCTCACCTTCTGTATGCTTGAATGTAACATGCGCAACCTGTGGACACATTTATTCTGCATGTAGCCATGTTTTATTTCACCATAATTTTGCCACAAGCCCCTCGCGATATTCATCTGCCATGAAACTATTCTCTGTGATTTATTTGCATATGGAAGCTCCTATTTTCTACTCTTTGTCTGAGAAAGCTAGGTGTCCTTATTATTCAGTAATTCCTTACTGGACAGAACAGACTCTGCAGCCATCAGAACAGGAAATTCAGGATTAGGGATTCAGAACTTTGCACATATGGACAGGCACTACAAATTACTGAACATGTGCTGCAGACCAGCGCTCTATATGCAGTAAAGAGGTTCAGGTTTGGTTGATTGGCATTGTGATGTAAACCCTTCTGTACTGAACAGTGGCAGACATGTGTCCCACTACAGACTTCATACAGACCTGTGGCCTTTTTTATCTGAACACCACCAGGAGTGACAAGAAGAAGAAGAAGAAGAAGAAGAAGAAGAAGAAGAAGAAGAAGAAGAAGAAGAAGAAGAAGAAGAGAAGAAGAAGAAGAAGAAGAAGAAGAAGAAGAAGAAGAAGAAGAAGAAGAAGAAAAGAAGAAAGAAGAAGAAAAAGAAGAAGAAGAAGAAGAAGAAGAAGAAGAAGAAGAAGAAGAAGAAGAAGAAGAAGAAGAAGAAGAGAAGAAGAAGAAGAAGAAGAAGAAGAAGAAGAAGAAGAAGAAGAAGAAGACTATGCAAGAGATGAGGAGAATGTATACCATCAGATACCATAATATCTTGTGAGAAATGCCCAAATATATGCTGGGATTTGAACCCATAACATGTGTTTCTGAGATTGATGCAACCACCTGCTCACATTATTTCTGAGAGCAGCACCCTAAAGAGTGGTATCAGTTGGGCAGGGGTACTTACTGGCCAGGCCGGTGACAACCACACAACTGACAACCACACAGCTGACAACCACACAACTGACAACCACACAACTGACAACCATACAACTGACAACCACACAACTGTACTTACTGGCCAGGCAGGTGACAACCACACAACTGACAACCACACAACTGTACTTACTGGGCAGGCAGGTGACAACCACACAACTGGCAACCACACAACTGTACTTACTGGCCAGGCAGGTGACAACCATGCAGATGACAACCCACAACGCCGTGAGTTTGCTCATGACTCGTGGTTTGAATCTGCAACAGGCGGTCATCAAGTTCAGCTAGAGATCTACAAACAGCATGTGTACATAGCTACAGTCAATATATGGCTACAGTCAATACATGGCTACAGTCACTTACTGGCTACAGTCAGGCAGGCTACAGTCAACATGGCTACAGTCACTATATGGCTACAGTCAACTATGGCTTACTGGCCAGGCATGGCTACAGTCAATACATGGCTACATGTAGGTGGCTACAGTCAATACATGGCTACAGTCAATTTGGCTCAGTGAATACATGGCTACAGTTGAATCATGCAACAGGCAATACATGGCTACATCAATTCATGGCTGAAGATCAATACATGGCTACAGTCAATGCATGGCTACATAATACATGGCTAGTCAATTCATGGCTACAGTCAATTCATGGCTACAGTCAATATATGGCTACAGTCAATACATGGCTACAGTCAATACATGGCTACAGTCAATACATGGCTACAGTCAATACATGGCTACAGTCAATACATAGCTACAGTCAATACATGGCTACAGTCAATACATGGCTACAGTCAATATATGGCTACAGTCAATATATGGCTATAGTCAATATATGGCTACAGTACACAAATGTGCTAGCTACTGCCACAGTCAATATATGACTACAGTCAATAATGGCTAGGTCAATTTATGGCTACAGTCAATATCAGTCATCTTCATACTCACACTTTAAAAAGAGTGGTCATCATCAACTAGATGGACAACATACACGCACAGTCAATATATGGCTACAGTATGCAAATGTGCCAGCTACAGCCACAGTCAATATATGGCTACAGTATGCAATCATGCTAGCTTTAGAGAAAATTATTATATGGCAGAAGTAGGCAAATGTACTAGCTGTGGTTACAGTCAATATATGGCTACAGTATGCAAACATGCTAGCTATAGATACAATTATTATATGGCTGCAGTAAGCAAATGTGCTAGTTGTGGTTACAGTCAATATATGGCTACAATATGCAAACATGCTAGCTATAGATACAATTATTATATGGCTGCAGTAAGCAAATGTGCTAGCTGTAGCTTAAGTCAATATATGGCGAGTGTATGCAAATGTGATAGCTGTGGCTACAGTCTACTATATGTCTAGTCAATATTTGTCTAAATAATGCAAATGTGCTAGCTACAGCCACAGTCAATATATAGCAACATAAACAGTCAGCTTCACGTCTGGTGATAACAGGTCTACATTTCATAGACAGATGTGCTAGCTACTCACGCTGCTACAGAAACAATGTTGAAATATAAAATAAATACAAAGAAAAGGAAACAGCACACAAAAGAAGTGCCTCATCAGTCTACTGACAGTACATCAACCTGGCCACTTCCAGACACTTGGCTAAATGATCTTGTGTATTTGTGTGGTATTGCTTTATTGATGCATGTGCTGATGAAGGCTCCTTAGCTGCTATGTTCACAATTTGTTTGTATTTCTCCTATTGTGAAGCTTGCTGACATACTTTTTCTTCGGTTTTATATTTTTTTCTTGACACAAAAGATGAAAAGTGGAACAGTCATGATAACTGGAACAGTTATGGTAACAAAAACAGTTATGGTAACAAGAACTGTTATGGTAACAAGAACAGTGATGGTAACAAGAACTGTTATGGTAACAAGAACAGTCATGGTAACAAGAACAGTTATTATAACAAGAACAGTCATGGTAACAAGAACAGTCATAGTAACTAGAACGGTCATAGTAACAAGAACAGTCATAGTAACAAGAACATTCATGGTAACAAAAACAGTGATGGTAACAAGAACAGTCATGGTAACAAGAACAGCCTCAAAGAAATGAAGATAATTTGTATATTGCATATATAATCTTACAACTCCCCCCCCCCCCCCCCCCCAAACCCCCCCCCCCCCACTCTTCACTTCAGTGAGGTTATGGCACAAGATGCGAAGTTTCAACAAGTCTACATGAGGCAGAGACTTTAGGTACTTTAGCCAAATTTTCACAATTATTTTCTAATTATAAAACTAGTACAGCTGCATACACATTGAAAAGCTCTTTCCAAAGGTTCCTCATTCATGTCTGTTCTGTGGTGTGTCAATTCTAAGCCGAGCTATCTAAGTTACCAACAGTTCCTCATTCATGTCTGTTCTGTGGTGTGTCAATTCTAAGCCGAGCTATTTAAGTTACCAACAGTTCCTCATTCATGTCTGTTCTGTGGTGTGTCAATTCTAAGCCGAGCTATCTAAGTTACCAACAGTTCCTCATTCATGTCTGTTCTGTGGTGTGTCAATTCTAATCCGAGCTATCCAACAGTTCCTCATTCATGTCTGTTCTGTGGTGTGTCAATTCTAAGCCGAGCTATCTAAGTTACCAACAGTTCCTCATTCATGTCTGTTCTGTGGTGTGTCAATTCTAAGCCGAGCTA